GATGTTTCCCCGCGACACGACGACTTCATTTCAATATATCCTCCCGGCACCAATTAGAAGCTTCGTTTCGATTTCTCATAGCTAGTACCGCTGCCCACACGATACGCATACACACGTGCACATACGTATCGCGGTGGTAAATGTAGCCTCGGGAGTATTATCGAAGAGAAATAAATAGCATCCTGCTACCGCGATTGCACGAGCAGTCCTCGATCTTCGTGTTCGTCATCGTCGTCGTCGTCGTCGTCGTCGTCGTCGCTATGGTACGTCGTGCACGTGAGAACGACCCAGATGAAAACGGGACAGGATCAGCAGCCACGGAACGAAGACAGAGCGAGAGGGAGACGGGGGGCCGCGGAGACGAGTGGGGAACGGGAGTCAAGGAACTAGAAATGAATTCCATTTGTGGGATTGGGAGGGGAGGACTGTCAGGCGGAATAGAGCGGAGGATAAGAGGATAGAGGAGGAAAAAGGACTGGCACGAAAGGCAAAGAGAGGAGAGAAGGGAAGTGAATTTCAAGGTGAGGTAGGTAAAAAAAACCTAGGAGAAAATTTAGGAAAAAATTTAGGAAAAAAAAAAATGATATTTTGTACGCAGTCATTCGCATTGTTTAGGATTGAATGAGAAGGGAAACTGGTGGATTATCTCGACTGCTTGGCACTGTCAATATGTAGAAGTCGGTATGCAAGTGGTATCGCGAGTACGTCGCGCGCGTTCACGCACGCGGCGAACGCGCCAACACGCATGCCGTGAAAGCAGGATATGCTGATCGGTAAACATTGACCGCTACCTTCGCCATCCTAGACTACTTGTCGATGCAAAAAGGAAGGACGTGCGCAATAACGTCCACTCATAGCGTAACGCGCGCGATGCAGCTCGGCTTTTCTCGCGCGGCTTTTGATATCTAGACTAGAAGAGCTTTTTTAACATCTGTGCACATTGTGAATTTCATTGATATCGAGAATCTTTGTTTCCTGGGATTTTTACGTCGAATCTGTGGCGTTGAATCCGCCGGCGACCGAGAGATTTCTCGTGGAAATCGGACAGACTGTCTCGTTTTAATCGTATCGCTATTCCTGCCGAGAACGCATAAGGGCGAGAATCAGTAATGAGTGCGTTACGGATTTCTTCCCTGCCTCGGCATCGCCGGCAAAAACTCGCTCTCGATTCGATCCACGATGCCGGAGGACGAAGGATGCGAGGAGGAGGTCGAGAGAGTCCAGCGTTGGACCGGCGATCTGCGCGAATTAATCAAATACGCGAGCGATTTATCTTCGTTACACCCACGTGAGCACCCCGGGGGGACGCGTGTGTAACCGGGGTGACGGAGCCCTCGCGAACAACCGGCACTGGTAGAAGAAAAACGTGGCCGTGCTACATGTGCACCTTGCGTGATGATTATTGTAAATAAAAATAACGTTTTATGCGACGAAAACAGCGCGCGGCGACGCGAGGTTTAGTTTTCCCTCAAGTTGCACAGCTATATAATTCTTGCTATTTACTTTTTAGCTTTATTAACTTCAGAAGATATGGCGAAACTTGTTTCTGTCTATAAATTTTATGCGTTGCCATAAAATAGACACATAGGAAAACTCATTTGGATTCGCACCATTTAAGTCTCGTGCAATAAAGTTTCAATATGCATCAAAATTTTTATTCTCCCGTGATTAATTACGATTGGAAAATTTCTTCTTATATGTTTACCATTTGAAAGTCTTATTTTATACCAACTTGCGATATTTGAACGATCCGTCGATCTCGGTAACTTTTTTTAGTGCGGGATAAAAAAATTCAAGCCGCGGTATTCCGTATTCGAAGGAGGAACGCGCGATTCGTGCGCGCTTTGATTTTATTATATACCTCAAGATTTATTACCAAATATGCGTATCTTAATGGCTAGCTTTCTCGCCACGGCGGCTTACACGGCGGGAAGGGACACAGATTTGTCCGGCGTGTCATACCCTTCCGAAGTTGCGCGTCGAAATCCTTTTGCACGGGCAGGATGCTCGAGCGGTATCTCGGCGTATCGGGATGCGGAGTAAATCGTAATTATATACGGGGAGTAGTACAGGATCGGCGGGCCCTCCTCTCGCGACGGAGAGCCCGTGGAAAAAGATCACGCGGACGTTTAATAACACGGGTACCGAATGCTGATGGGTAAAGGTATCGCCGTGGATATAAAACGCGTACGTCTTCCAGACCAGTCTCCTCGCGGTACCAACGCATACGCGTAATTACACGCGGGCCGCGCGCGTATGCGTTCACGCAAGTGTTTCGATCCTTCGCACACACATTTTAGTGAGCCGATCTGAGCGTAGGTATGCGAATCCCCCGGACACTGCGTATGCGTATGAGTCCTGCCCGCGCGCGCGAGTATACAGGGTGTCTGACCGGACAATCTTTCGGATATTACGAAACGAACTGAGGATGATGAGGATTGTGCGGATGCTCGCGGAGTTATTTAGCGTTGAGAATTAAGGGACTTTTTCGCGGATCAGATGCCTCTCGTAGCGAGCTTGTTTTAATTCCAAATAAA